AAAGAAAATTATAGACCAGTATTCCTCATGAACATAGATGCAAAAATTCTCAACAAAATCCTAGCCAACAGAATCTAGCAGCACATCAAAAAAATAATACATCGTGACCAAGTAAATGAGTTTCATAAAAGGGTTGCAAGGATGGTTCAACATTAGAAAAATAATCAACGTTATCCACCATATAAATAAGAAAAAGGAAAAGAACCACATGATCATATCAATTGATGCAGAAAAGGCATTTGACAGAATGCAACATCCATTCCTGATAAAAACACTCAACAAAGAAGGAATTGAAGGGAAATTCCTCAACATAATCAAGAGCATATATATACAAAACCAACAGCCTATATCACTCTCAATGGAGAGAAACTGAAAGCCTTCCCTCTGTGAACAGGAACCAGACAAGGATGTCCTTTGTCACCACTCATCTTCAATATTGTTTTGGAAGTCTTAGCCAGAGCTGTATGGCAAGATTGGGAAATTAAAGGCATCCGAATTGGCAAAGAGGAACTAAAACTCTATTTGCAGATGATATGATCCTATGCATAGAAAACCCTAAAGACTCAGTAAAAAAGCTACTAGACGTCATTGGAAGATTCAGCAAAGTGGCAGGGTATAAAATCAATATACAAAAATCAGTTGGATCCCTCTATAGTAACAATGACAGTGCTGAAAAGGACATTAGGAAAGCAATACCATTTACAATAGCCACCCAAAGGATGAAATATTTAGGAATAAACGTAACCAGAAAAAACAAAGGACCTATATAAAGAAAACTACAAAACACTACTACAAGAAACCAAAAGAGATTTACAGAAATGGAAGATCATACCATGTTCCTGGATAGGAAGACTCAACATCGTGTAAATGTCAATACTGCCCAAAGCAACTTACACATATAATGCAATCCCAATCCAGATTGCAACAACATTCTACAAAGAGATGGAAAAGACAACTGCAAACTTCATATAGAAAGGAAAGAGACCCAGGATAAGCTTAAGAAGAAGAACAAGGTTGGAGGACACTCACTCCCCAGTATCAAAATTTACCGCATGTCTACAGTGGTCAAAACAGCCTGGTACTGGTACAATGAAAGATACATTGATCAATGGAACAGAATTGAGAATCCAGAAATTAACCCATCCACATACAGCCA